GATGACACGCACACAACAGGTGCCGCGTGTACAGGATGTGTGCGTGCATTTAGCGATGATACGCACACAACAGCTTTATATGATAACTAGGATAATTATCCATATAAAGTATATGATACCAGTATGGTATTTGTATGTATGGTAAATACAAGTCAAGGACTTACAAATATGGTGCTGCAAGAACCATTGTACCTGTTATCGTGGTGTATATAAGCACTATTTAAGGTACGTGTAGGTTACAGCGTGGTAGGCGTTTTCAAAATACCATCCATGTCAGTGTTACAGTGCAAGTTCAAGACGATACTCGTAAGTGATAGTACTAACTAGCGAGTTCTTTATTACACATTGAAAGTAGGTATAAGTGACTAATCAGACATGCATTTGGTCCATTCCTTGACCTATACTAGGATTACACTAATTAAAGTATTAACCCCCACCGCTGATAAGCCTACACAGTGCGTAATGTAGGCTGAGTAGGCCGAATTAAAATTGCAGGTCATCATTATGAGACGTGTGTCACAATTCACTATTATGATTTGTATAATTATGATTAGTAGGCTGCAAATAATCATTATCACACGTAGGTCGCAGCTCTACTTCAACACTTCCTACAAGACAGTGAAGCAAAAAGTCACCATGCATGTACGTGTATATAGTTGATAAAGCCGGTAGTCTTAGATCACTCACTAAAGTCTAAAATTTGACTAGATGAATGGAAGATCCCGATAATTGTTTGATAGCACAAAATAGTCTTAAAATGAACAAGGTAGGTGAATAGTAATAAATTGTAATATAATTTAAATTTATTTAATGTATAATCAAATGACAAGAATATAATGACGCTTTATCCATTATCAAAACATTCACAAAAAGAAAAAAACAATTCCAGAGAAGTATCAATGTAAGGACTATTTCTAACAAAATAGCGGGTTTTCCATAATGTAGTGTCAAGACCGAAGGTTACCTCGAAGGTGGTAGTGTGTGAGACGAGTTAGTTGGCCTCCTGCCTATTCAGATGCGTGTCTCGTATGCCAATTTCAACCTATTATTCATCTGTGCTGTAAATAAACTTTATTTGAATAAATGCTTGTGGGAACAAGTCTTCATTAATACTCCGACGAAAACTCTTTATAAACTGACTTTGTGAAGAACCCGATCAAGTTATTACAATCAACATTCAAAATCATCAATTCAAAATACAGTATGTTAAACTTACAGTATGACTGAAAAATACGCTGATACAGAAATCATTTTACAAAATGTCTACAAATTTGCTTATAAGCTAAGACACAGATTCACTGGAGTTGCGCAGAGACAAAGCCTGCACTCAATATTTATATCAATCTTCCGCAATTGCTGCCGGTAGTCTGCTTTTTAAATTTTTTCAACTTTCAAAATTAATCCATTTATTTAATTAACCATCATCGTTCAATCATAAAAACTTCCATCCACTTGGCGGTCAGCAAGGTTCTCTAGACGACAACGGCTGATGCAGTAAATAAGAAAAAGGCTATAATAGATTTAAGTAAGGGCTGTTGATATCATCTCCGTGCATTCTAATTCCAGTCGAAAAGTCTTCGAAGATCTACTAATTTTTATAAAATTTTCTGAAAAATTTGTTTTTCCACTGAAAAAAGGAATCGCTGGTTTGACCCGGCTTATAACCACACGTTCTAGTCCCTGAATGACTTGCGATTTAGGTGTTCCCGCGGCTAAGAGGTCATCAAAAATTTTTATTAACCCGGCCAAAGCTGACGAACAGATATGGTCTTCACGTTTTAGTTGTGCGTTTCTAACTTTAATTTTTTGTGCGCGGAAACTTCAATCATCTTCTCGGTGTCTCGTCTAAACGAAAATCGGATGGCACGTTGAAAAGCCGAGACGGGTTGCACGAAATCTTTGGGCAACACGAAATCTTTTGGCAGGGGAATTTTTTGCAGATCTCCAAAAGTTTTGAGAACATCCTGAGTTGATTCCGACATTGCATCTTCTTCTGATGAGGATGTATCTGCATTTTCACTAGATTCATGTGCACTGCCATGCTCGCGACGTTGTCCCTCTTCATCAGTTAGTTCTTTCTTAACAGTTCCGTCGAACTGTTTTACCTCGCAGGTGCGACTAACGTCCAGTTCCAGAAAGAGTGAACTCAATACATCAAACCGCTGTGATCTTCTCTGTAGCTCATCCAGAGATTCCTCAATTGCCTTCTTTTCATTTTCCAAAAGGCTTAGTAAATGGGAATTTATCTTTTTATTTGAGAAATGGGGAGTGCAGAGTTGACGAGAGCATGGCGTCGGTTGTTCGGATCGTAATCTCATGATCTCTTTGCCATCGATTATGATGTTCGTCATATTTTCTCGCATTATTTCTCGCACTGCTTTTGCTTCTGAGCTCTCCACTTTTCGAAAATTTTTTAATTTGTCTTCCATATCACTTTTCAGCTGTGGGTATCTTCTGGCATATTCAGATAATCCAGACATCTTGACAGGTGCAATTTCAGTAGCAATGAAATCTCATTTTGAAACGACAGATATACGCGCTCGCGTATCTTGACTACGGTCGCGTCTTTGCGATCGCGCATCATACGCAGATTTTGAAAACTTTTACGATTTTGAAAGCTTTTTGAATCCGTCTACGTTTTTTATGATTTATAATATAACATTAGTATATTTAGACCGAAGTTTATATTATTCAATGCATGTTTGATTGAAAACCAGAGAGTATTTCTTATTCACAATATTCGTATCGTTTTTCTCAGTGTAGTGAATTAGACTTTTAGTAAGATTTTGAAGTATGAAAATGAGGCTTCCAAGGAAAATTTTCTGTGGACTGTCCCTCTTGAGTAGAATGAACATTGCTTTAGGATTATATTGACTAATTCGCATGATTATATGATTTTATATGTTATCTCTAACTGGAAAATTAAATTGATAGAGCAACGAGTTTATCTATTGATATAGGAAATTTTTTATAGAAGATGGCGGTACACCTTATACTTTTTGGCACCACGAAGCAAATCCGTTCAGTATAAAAGGCATTGTGATTAGTCCAATTACCCAGAAGTTACGTTTTGCGTTTGAGTTCGCTATAGCGAGTTCGCGGGTGTGTTCTGGGATGTTAATTCGATCGGTTAAAACCAGCGTTATTTATCATGAAGGTAAATGCAATAACCCAGTTTGAAATCGAACTTAATTCTTCTGCCTCAGTTAGTGTGTGTAACTTCTGCAATAGCGTGCATTCACTGTAACAAATAAACCAAGAATTTAAGGGGACCTGCTACCCAACATCTTCAATTTTGGCGTTTTTCGGTTTTTGTGCTCATCTGAAAGCTGGAATTCTGCTCTTTCCAATGGTACCACTGCCATCGCTGTACGTTATCAATTTTTTCGAAAAATTCATAGAAGTAAAATGTTATTATTTTTACATTTTACGTATGTATGTGAAGTTTCATGATGATCGAATAATAACTGTAGGAGTTATAGGCTACCTCGATTTAGGGTAGCAGGTCCCCTTAAAGATGATCTCGGACCCCATCATCTGAAGAAATGCGTATTTTGCTCATGTATAAAATATTGTTTTTAGTGTGCGGCAAGTTGTAAGAAATAACATCAGATGGCTTAGAGTGAAATAAAAAAATTCACGAAAAAATAATATAAAAAATAGCTTGAACTTGTCAAATACCAGACCTAAGCCAGGAAGCTGAAGATTATATCAGTCTCATCAATCGGAAACAATCCGTTGGAATAGAATCTCCATTGACGTAGAGGTTCTCGGATGACCAAATCAACGAATCAACGATTTCTTTCATCAAAAAGATTGTTGGATACTAAAAAGTTCCACTGTCACACACAAGCTGTGTATTCCAGAGTTTACATGCCACACACAAGCTGTGTATTCCAAAGTTCCCGTGTCACACACAAGCTGTGTATCCCAAAGTTCCACTGTCACATACAAGATGTGTATTCCAAAGTTCCAATGTCACATACAAGCTGTGCATTCCAAAGCTGTGTATTCCAAAGTTCCACTGTCATACACCAGCAGTGGAAAGACGCTTCAAATTCGTCACACAAACGCTACAAGCGTCACCGGCGCAGGCGTCACGGACAGTTTGTAAAGAACACGTAAAAAAAGAACAAAATTAACATTGAATACGACGGTAATTAATTCGATGGCCAACTTTTGAGGAGCTTGAAGATTTGAACGAAATAAAGGAAATAATTCGTGTACATCAGTTTGTATCATTGACGACCGACCAATTTTTACATCAAGATATTTTTTTACAAGATTTAACACTATTACTGTGAAGAAGCGTTTTAGCAGCCCTACATTTGCACCAGATTATTTTTATGTAACATATATAAAAAATATTACTGGGGAAAATTGAATCCTAATTAAGTGCTTCATATCAACATGTCGCCGTGTGTGATGGAGGCTAATAAAAATTGCCCCCTCATAGCATCAGTCGACTTCTATCACATTAGGTTTAATATTACATAATTGAGCACAAGATATAGTTTAAAAAATATCAATTAATATTATTTTTAAATCACGCTTTTAAGATCTTTCATGGCTTTGCGGCAACTCAAGAAATTGTCGGATAGCGAATATCGAAAAAGGCTGTTATCACTCCACCCTACAACACGGTAGTTCCAAGCTACCATTATGTTACTAACTGCACCACTGGTTACAACTACACAGCAGTTGCAAGCTACCACTAAGTTACTAACTGCACCACTGGTTACAACTACATAGCAGTTCCAAGCTACCACTATGTTAGAATGTTACTAACTGCACCACTGGTCACAACTACATGCATCTCCGAGCTACCACTATGTTACTAACTACAGGTTCGGTTGCAGGTACTGGGAATAGTGGCAGTGGCCATCACCGGTCACTACATCAAGTGGGACTCTAGTTACTATGAGAGTATGGTACCTGAACTGTTCTTCCTGCTGGTAGCTACCACCTGCCTCATCACCACCACGCTGCTGCTGCTGTCCTGCCTCTGTTCCATCGCCACGGCCTCCATCATACCGAAGACTCTCTTCGTGAGTAGTGATGATGGTGTGGTGAGGGTGTGATGAGGGTGTGATGAGGGTGTGATGAGGGTGTGATGAGGGTGTGATGAGGGTGTGATGAGGGTGTGGTGAGGGTGTGATGAGGGTGTGATGAGGGTGTGATGAGGGTGTGATGAGGGTGTGATGAGGGTGTGATGAGGGTGTGATGAGGGTGTGATGAGGGTGTGATGAGGTTGTGATGAGGGTGTGATGAGGGTGTGATGAGGGTGTGATGAGGGTGTGATGAGGGTGTGATGAGGGAGTGATGAGGAAGGGGTGAGATGTGATGTACATGTCATCATCCTGATGATGCAGCTCGCGTGCTGTAAGGATGATAATGCCGTTATGATGAGCCATATCATCGTCAAGATGACTGTTGTGAGTGATGAGAGTGATGAAGCTTGATATTGTCAATATTTCATCATGACTAATTTCATCACTACCATGAAGTCACCATTAACCACTGCTCTGCCTGCCCTATCTCACGGGATACTTTCTACAGTATCCGGCAGGAGAGTGAGGAACATTTAAGCAGCAAGTAACGTAAGGTGCGAATAACCTAAGGAGGTAAAAAATGTGACATTGCTCGTCAAGAGACGCCATTTATGTAGAAATGTGGTTGATATAGAGCATTGAATGTCTATGTAGAACAGGTTTATTGAAACAGGTCGTTCCGTCATTTAATCACAGCGATGTATCGGAATCATATCAGCATTGGACCTGTCTCTTATACACATCTAGATGTGTATAAGAGACAGGGTGTGATGAGGGTGTGATGAGGAAGGGGTGAGATGTGATGTACATGTCATCATCCTGATGATGCAGCTCGCGTGCTGTAAGGATGATAATGCTGTTATGATGAGCCATATCATCGTCAAGATGACTGTTGTGAGTGATGAGAGTGATGAAGCTTGATATTGTCAATAATTCATCATAACTAATTTCAGCACTACCATGAAGTCACCATTAATCACTGCTCTGCCTGCCCTATCTCACGGGATACTTTCTACAGTATCCGGCAGGAGAGTTAGGAACATTTGAGCAGCAAGTAACGTAAGGTGCGAATAACCTAAGGAGGTAAAAAATGTGACATTGCTCGTCAAGAGACGCCATTTATATAGAAATGTGGTCGATATAGAGCATTGAATGTTTATGTACAACAGGTTTATTGAAACAGGTCGTTCCGTCATTTAATCACAGCGATGTATCGGAATCATATCAGCATTTGGGTGTGATGAGGGTGTGATGAGGGTGTGATGATGGTGTGATGAGGGTGTGATGAGGGTGTGATGAGGGTGTGATGAGGGTGTGATGAGGGTGTGATGAGGGTGTGATGAGGGTGTGATGTGGGTGTGATGAGGGTGTGATGAGGGTGTGGTGAGGATGTGATGAGGGTGTGGTGAGGGTGTGATGAGGGTGTGATGAGGGTGTGGTGAGGGTGTGGTGAGGGTATGGTGAGAGTGTGAAATACATGACATCATCCTGAAGATGCTGGATGATAATGCTGTTGTGATGAGCCATCATCGTCAAGATGACTGTTGTGAGTGATGAGAGTGATGAAGCTTGATATTGACAATATATCATCATAACTAATTTCATCACTACCATGAAGTCATCATTAATCACTGCTCGGCCTGCCTTATCTCACCGAAAACTTTGTACAGTCTCCGGCAGGAGAGTTAAGAACATTTGAGCAGCAAGTAACGTAAGGTGCGAATAACCTGTGGAGGTCAAAAATGTAACCTATGCTCGTCAAGAGACGCCATTTCGGTAGACATGGAAACATGGTCGATGCAGAGCATGGAACGTTAATGTACAACACGTTCATTGAAACAGGTCTTTCCGCCATTTAATCACAGAGTCGTTCAGGAATCATATCAGCATGGCCGTCATAATAATGTACCGAAGCTTGACATGATAATGAAGTGAATGAATAACTTTGAATGAGCAGGATCTTCAAGACCCGGGACTGCAACAGGAATTAATTGAACAGTACAAACCCCGGAATGTATTTTCTTACCGGTTCCATGCTGCTCTAACAACTCCTCATGCTGTCCCGGGTCGGAGACAGTTCGTTCAAAGCTGGTCACCCGCGTCAATAGAGACAGTTCGTTCAAAGCTATTCACCCGCGTCAATATATAGAGACAGTTCGTTCAAAGCTGGTCACCCACGTCTATATCATGTCACACTTTGGAACACTACGATGACGCCAAAATTAACACCGTCCCTAAAAAATCTCTACCCTCTCATGGCAGAACGGCGCGCTGCAATAAGCGTGTTTTTAAAAAACGCTCTATCTTTACACCGGCAATGTTTCCATTGCTACTGAAATGGCAAGCAAATGCAACATTACTGAGCTCCCTAAGTTATTCCAGCCTTACGTGGCACGTCGCATGGATCAGCCATGCATCCTTCCCTGCTGACCTGTACTAAATTGTGATATCACAGCTCTACCTGCCTTGTCCCACAGGAAACTTTGTGGTACCACATTGTGGCATCACTGCTCTACCTGCCTTGTCGCACAGGAAACTTTGTACCACATTGTGGCATCACTGCTCTACCTGGTAGTACCACATTGTGGCATCCATGCTCTACCTGCCTTGTCGCACAGGAAACTTTGTAGTACCACATTGTGGCCTCGCTGCTCTACCTGTCTTGTCCCACAGGAAACTTGGTAGTACCACATTGTGGCATCGCTGCTCTACCTGCCTTGTCCCACAGGAATCTTTGTACCACATTGTGGCATCACTGCTCTACCTGCCTTGTCCCACAGGAAACTTTGTGGTACCACATTGTGGCATCACTGCTTTACCTGCCTTGTCCCACAGGAAACTTTGTACCACATTGTAGCATCTCTACTCTACCTGTCCGCCGGTTTGTGCTTCATCATCTACCTGAACTCGGAGCAGAACCGACGCTACGTTACCAACTATGGTCCTAAAACTGCCGCTGCTGTGAGTTTTGCAGTAATACGGCCTCTTACCGCATCTGTTACAGGGTGACACAAAAAAAACAGAGCTCACTAAAAGTCTTATAACTCCTGAAATTTTATTCAGTTTGAAACAAAAATTCTATGGAATTATGTACAACCTATGTAGCCAACATCTGCAAAATCTCAATTCTATACCACAAAAACTCTTTGTTCTACAGCCGCTCAAAGATATGTTCCAGTGCATCTCGAAGCTCACACGTGGTAGACTCTTAGATCAATCCGTCTTCTTAATGAATCTGAAACAAATAACAGGATTACTTGAGTATTGTGGAAATTATTCAACTTTTTATGAGCTCTGTTTTTTTTGTGTCACCCTGTACTTCAGTTATGCACAAATTCCGTGGCGTTACTTTTTACTGGACACTAAGCGTTGGTATTTCGTGCATGACTAATGTTTGATTTGAGGGGGTACTGAAAAACTGCAGCTCAAAGAAAATTGGTTCTATACACTTAATATTCACTTTATTTTTCGACTTATTGCTTGCTGTTTTCTGTCATCTTCTGTTTTCACCTCTCACTATCCTAACCATTGATTTGTTTCACCATTATTGACCTAATTAATTTTTTAATCAACTCGCACACGAACGACCGCGAAAAAAAAACATAAAAAACTTCAATGTAAATGTTCACAATTAACTATCCCGGACCCAGCAGTCAACCATCGATGGAAAATCTTTTCGGCCAGGGAAACGGCACCAATAATTTAAAGTCTATAATAAAAGTTAATAAAAGTCTAAATCGAGCTGTTTTCTTGTGTTTTAGGTGAGTCTGATGCACGGCACTTGGAGTTACCTTTTACTGTTCGTGAGTCTCTTTAAACTTGTAAAGTTGACGCAACGAAACTCGGGATACTCGATCTCTGAAAGAGGGTTCGGACTAAAATCTTTCTGTGGGGTGAGTTGCTTTAAAAATTATTTATTTCCAGTCGGCCAATAAAATTTAAAACTAGAAATAATTTCATTCATAAGCTTGATCTTGGGCGTAAGAGTAACGTGAATTTTTGTTGGCAATATAAATCGGACTGCTGGGCTACAATAGCGTACGAACTTCGTTACAATAAAGTACGAACTTGGCAATAATAGCGTACCAACTAGCTACAATAGCGTACGAAATTTGCTACAACAACGTACGAACTTGGCTACAATAGCGTACCAACTTAGCTACAGTAGGGTAAGAACTTCTCAACAATAGAGTAATACTTTTTTTTACAATAGGGCAATAACCCAGCAACAATGGGGCACTACTCTGGCTTCAATAACTTGCCTGATCAGCTATTGCAGGGTTTCTCCTCTAATACAATTGGGTGCATGCCAAGCTACAATTTTGTACTAAAACCCGAATTCAATATAAATAGATGCAGTACAATAGATATTGCAATAGATAAAGTGATAGATAATGCAACACAAGTTAATATGTAGCGCTAATCGTATGTGGCGATTGATGTTAAATATTATATTCTTGTTATTGTTTGCATTTAACTTCTATTTAGGAAGTACTTATTTAACACTTCGAAAATCTTAACTCTTCTTTCTAATTTTTTAATTCGCTTTTCTTTATAACTTACAACAATATAATCGTTTCCTATTAAATGAATGCAGTGGTAATCAAAATTGTATTTCTTATATTTAATTTGATTTTCCGGTAATTAGAAGTGTTGGAAAAATACAAGTATTAAATTCATTTCTAAATATCGTCATTCATTTATGTCTTGAATTAAATGTTATTTATTAATATATTTATAAAATTATATTTATTTAAATGTCAGGTTATTACTGATATATAACTATAGGCATTCACGATTCAATTATATGAAAAGATATAAAATATACGATGTAGCTGAATGTACAAAGTATTATCGTTGTAAATATGAGCCGTTAAGATATTCATACATGACTGTATAGATGAATTAAACGTAATATCCTGCACTCAACCTAAAAAAGTCGAATAACAGTAGTATTATTACCTGGAATGTAGAGTAATTTAAAGTTTGAGTGGTACATGTTAGGATTTTACAATATGTATTTATTGAGTAATGAATGGTAGCTTATGATATTTACAATAATCATACCTAAATTTTGACTGATTAGTAATGTTGTACTTACATGACATTCCTATATGCTATTTGCTATAACCATAACTGCTTGTCCTATTTGCTATAACCTTAACTGCATCAAATCGGACAATGATGAATTTGCTCAATGCTATTCTTATCTAAATAGTTACAAGCAATAAGAGTAAGTGTCTGATTATAATGTTATTTCTACGTAACTGCGACCAAACCAGCACTTATTACACGTACACGTACAGGCGATCGGGCTGGTGAACACAGCGCTGTACTTCCTGGCCTGCTTCTACTCCGTACGCTCCTACCGCCGGGGCTAAAATGTACGTGTCTGCTCCAGGTACGTCCTGTCGGGGCTAAAATGTACGTGTCTGCTCCTGCAGTGAAGGCACGACGTACCTGCAGGGAAGTTGCGACGTACCTGCAGTGAAGGCACGACGTACCTGCAGGGAAGTTGCGACGTACCTGCAGGAAAGGCACGACGTACCTGCGGGGAAGTTGCGACGTACCTGCAGGAAAGGCACGACGTACCTGCAGGGAAGGTACGACGTACCTGCAGGAAAGGCACGACGTACCTGCAGGGAAGGCACGACGTACCTGTAAGGAAGGCACGACGTTGCTCCTGACGACGGCGGCCTGTACGGCCACGGCCGCAGCGCCGGACGGCAGCAGCGGCGACGTGGCGAACTTGGCGAGGCTGGGGAGGTTAGCGGCCACGCGGAACTCCTTCCGCGAGTCTGCTTTGTTGAAGGCTTTTTTGAACTGAAATTAATACGTACTACTTAGAACACCGCACAAACTTAAGATATAGACGTATACTCCAGTATACTATACTTAAAATATAGACGCATTCTTTAGTATACTATACTTAAAATATAGACGTATACTTTAGTATACTATACTTAAGATATAGACGTATGCTTTAGTATACTATACTTAAGATATGGACGTATACTTTAGTATACTATACTTAAGATATAGACGTATACTCTAGTATACTATACTTAAAAAAACGTATACGTTCAGGCTACCGACTCTTAAGATATAGACGTATGCTTTAGTATACTATACTTAAAATATAGACGTATACTTTAGTATACTATACTTAAGATATGGACGTATACTTTAGTATACTATACTTAAGATATAGACGTTTAGTATGCTTACTATACTTAACTTATGATATAGACATAGACGAGTAAATGATTCAGTGGTTGATAAACTTTAAGAAAATATAAGTAACCTTGGTTATGGGGTGATTCTTAAATGTTAGAAATTGTATGTTATTTACATAACCGCCCAAATTCAGTAGAATATGAAATATTTTTTAACAATTAATAATGAAATTAGATGAGAATACTATACAAAAGTCAGTGTATTAATTAAAACAATTGAATTCAGTATCTTTACACCGTCTAAATTTTGTAGATGATAAAATATTTTTTACAAAAGCTAACATACAGAGGTTTACTTAGTTTAGAAATGGCTTCTTAACTGAATTGAGATTAACTTACGAGCCACTAATATTGTACTTCATTTAATCGAAGAATATTGTCTACAGCTTTTTCTTTCATTGTACCCTCTTGAAAAAACTATTTTATTGATCATTATATATTGGCAATGTCTTCTCAACAATGCTGCAAAGTTAAACGCGAAGGATAACTATATAGCCGCTAAAGTCTTGAAACATCAATATCATCTCTATTCCAGAGAAATTTTTTTAATAGAAGATGAATAATATTCCAGAAAAATAAATGCGTTGAAAACATATTTCACAAAAGGAACATAGAAATAAAATATCCTGTTGCCACTCATAGACCCAAACGCGTTCACCAGAACAAGCCCCAGGTCTACGATGGCGTTTCACTTACTAACCGATAATTTAAAATCTATAAACGCAATGATATCTGTCAATTGCCGAAATTTTCATATTGAAGTAAAATTATGTTGATATTAGCATGATGTTATGCTGATTACATCCAGTGTAATCATCATTGTAATCACAATAAATCTTTTATCTGTTAGAATGAAATATCATTCGTAGGAGATTTATTTGGCTGGAAAATTAATTTTCGCTTCATCTTAACATGGATCCTTTATAATTCGATTATAGATACCAAATTAGAGCGATAGGCTGCGAGTAGACCAAAACAGTGCAGGCATCAGCAACAACTGCCGAACATAGAGCTTAGTATATGGAGAAGATAATATATTTAGTATATTTATTATTCATAAGATGAACAATAAATTCACCACAGTAACGTACATAGGTCTTACGATGACGTATCAAATATCAGTTCATGTGATCAGGTCAAACCATGAATCCAATGCTGGATATGTTTTATGGAGCTTATTACAAGCAAAAAATAATCAAACGATATTTTATTCCTTACACAAAACTTGGATGTGCAGATTAATGATACATATGATCACTAATAATTAGGATCACTTATCTATACTTCTTATGAAAACTTGAACGTTGACTCATGCCATTTGCCTGATCCAAGACTCTCCGTGATCGTCAGCCGCTGATCTAAAAGATCACAGTCGATCAAGATCTATAATNCAATATCAATACGAGCCACCACTCAATACGTGTACGTGTCAATATCAATACGAGCCACCACTCAATACGTGTACGTGTCAATATCAATACGAGCTACCACTCAATACGTGTACGTGTCAATATCGACAGTAAGGCAGAGCACAAGGCTTGCCTCGAGCGCTACACGATCAGTGGGCCGACGGCTGCGTTCCGTGTAGCCTTGCACCGACGTTTCTGTCGCGTCTTATTTTACCTGCAAAATTTTCAGTTCTGTGGAAATTAAATGACATAAATGTATTTCACCCTTCAGGTATTCCGTCGGAACTTTAATTGTACGGAGGATTAACAATTAAACATGTTGGAAAATCTACGGAATCAACTACGCGTATTCCGATACCACTTCGTGACTGGTGTTGGCTATAAACGGTCAATTGTGTACGTGAAATTGTGTGACTGTTATGGAGGACGTGTAATTGTGTACGTTAACTATTGTACCTGTAATTTCGTACGCGCAATTGTGTACGTGCAATATTGTACTGAAAATTGTGGCTCTATTCTGTGCCTGAAATTGTGCATGCGCAAATGCGTAACTGCGAATGTGCCCGAGCAGCTGTCCAAGCGTAGCTGTGTAGGTGTGTGTGTGGGTGAAATCAATGAAGTACATTTGAATGTTCAAGGTCGCCTTGTCCAACTAATGCATCATTGAACGCTGTATAGGTACAACAGTTGCACTCCGTCTGTTGTATACAGCGTCAAAAATCATTTTTAGATAATAGGCCAGTATAGCATACATAGTATAGTATAGTATATTATAGTATAGTATAGTATAGTATAGTATAGTATAGTATAGTATAGTATAGTATAGTATAGTATAGTATAGTATGGTATAGTACAGTATAGTATACAG